TGTCGCTAATAACAGCCGAGGATCTGGATGATGCTGCAGAAAAAGCAGTTAAAGCTGCATCCAGTTAAGAAAATTCGTACGTGGACCTGTTTTTGGTCTTCATTACCTTTTTACAGTATTCATGAATCAACAGATCTGTTGAATCTTGCAACTGAAAATACCCATGGAATTTAGTGACTGTTTGGTGTGATTGAAGTTTTTAATAAAAATTGTTAGAAAAAAATGGTTATAAAAATGTTATTTTTGTAAATAAAAAAAATTAAGATAAAATAAAAATAATATATTAATTTTATTAAAAATCAAATAAAAAACTCTTACAAAAACACTAATTCTATGTTTTTGAAATTTACAATAAAATAGATAAAATACTAATTTATGATAAATTTTAATATTTTTCACAAATTATAATATTTGGTGTAATTGAAAGTTTTGAAATTCAAAAAAATTTCTCATCAATTATAACAAACATAGCAATGATAAAAGCAGAGTACGGAAATATTCTTTTCCTTCCCTGAAAATTGGCATTTCAGGGTTAAGAGATTTGTGGTATTTCCGTACTTGCTTTAGCTGTTTAGAATTTTGTATTTGGAATTTATCCCTTTTTTGTCTCTTATTATTGCATATACCACACACCAGTTTAATGCAGCAATCGCTCTTTCATCTGTTCAATTTCCTACATGCTCGCTGGACTCGTGCATGCAAAAAGAACTATGAAGAAATTATTGCAGGCATGGCCCGTGTAGCTTCAGTTTTTGCTAATCTTAAAGGTTCGAACTTAGTGACCTCCTGCATGGAGTTTCAAATTTGTACTTGTTTGAAACACCCAGATGCGCCATATTTGCATAGGTTTAAATAACTAAAGGTAATCCTTATGCTTGCCAAAAGAAAAACCCTTCCCTACCCCACTGCTTTTTGCATTGGAGTCTCCCAAAAAAACCTAGTGAAAAGAAGTTCGATATCTTCGTAGGGCATTTTGCGATTCCGGATACTTCTTGGGGGCCTACCCAGCGGATGCCTCAAGGAAGTTCACAAATTCATTGCTGGTCCTAATTATATATTTCAAGGCCACTTGGTGATAAGTTCACCTTCTTCAAATTAGTAAATGTTCTGTCTGTTTCAAGGATATTTGGTATTTGTTTTTTATTTTGGTTAAATGTCAATTTTGGTTCTCAATTTTAGGGTTTTTCATAGTTTTTATCCCTTAATTTTTTATATACTTTGGTCTTTTAACGTAAAATAAATACACTTTTTTCGTTTTTCTGTTAATTAATTTGTTCAATTTGTTTAAATATACATATTTTTAATTCATCAACTTATAATATATGCATATTTTTCACCTCTCAATTTAAAAGTTCAAGAACTAAAAATGTGTATACATGAATATATTTATGGATATATTTAGCAAACTAATTGTATGTTTAAGTTAAGAAGAATGGATAAGAGGAAAAAAATTTTAATTAATCAAATTATAGCATTTTCAAAACATTATAATTCAATTGGTTAAAAAGCTTTTCCTCCTCTCCCCTTTATTCTCTTAATTCAAATATATTATAATTGACA